ACAAACAGCCCATTCATTCGCCAGTATGTAGATAAACTTATATAAACCAAGAAAATTTCGTCTCATACGTTTCAGATAAGTCATATATAATAATCGACGCCGTATTATTCGCAATATAATTATAAATGATACTTATCACTAAACGCGAAAAAACTGAAAACACTATTTGAGTATCGCAATCCAACGTCCTACTCGTCCATCTCGTTTCGACAACAAGAACGTCCTCATTTATGCCACTTGTTCCAAGTTTTTCGTCATCAGCACAACTGGACAAAATACCCTTGAATGTATATTTTCGACTGTCGCATTTTTCGAACATTGAGCCTATTTCTTTAATTGAAACAACACAGAAAATTATTTCAGGCTTAAGACAAATTATACATCAAAGCCCCCTTATTATATCAATAGTAAATTCGACATACTATATTATTAACGAGATTTTCTTGTAGTGGAATAACTAGAAGGGAGGGTAGCTTGACGAAAAAAGCTTTGTGCACATTATACGTTTTTTCGTGGCGTTAAAAGGGTACCCCGGAAAACGCCGAAACTTGGGTAAGTTCAGTTCATTCTTCCTTAATGTCTGTAGCCTTATTTATCGTTTTAGTGGCTTATCTATAACCGTTAAGATACGGCGCAGGTGATCCGAACGCAATTATCTAACAATAGCACGGTGCTTTTTTTCCTGCTTTTTGAGCAAAATCTAGTCGGCCATCTTTGTCATTGTTCCTCTTCCTTGCTGTCAACAAACCGGACGACCTGCCGTCAACTCCTTCAGTGACACGAATAAAAACAGCCACAGAACTAAACAGATATCGAAATAGTCGTTCCATAATTATAGACATGAAAAGAGTAAGCTTCTAAGTTTTGGTAGTCGATCGGGATAGTATAGCGCCCGATGGATCAATAATGGCTAAGTCAAACCCGATAATGCAAAAAAAAAACATGCGAAGATATGAGGTCAACAAGGTCCAATGAGAACTAACAACCTAAAATAAGAATGTTACAATTTGTTTTAAGCATAACTGAAAGATATTTTTCTTTTTTTACATGTATTAAGCTACAAAAAGAGAATTCGATAGTCTTTGAGATTAGATGGCCCTTGAATTACGCGCTACTAGCAGACAAGATTTGGCTATTAAATATTACAATCTTCTAGAAACTTGTGAATATTTGCTTGTTGAATTTACTCCAGGAGGCTAGCTCAAATCAAGAAACATCATGTAGTTTGAAAATCAACGTTCAGTGCTTAAGTTCTCTTCGAAGGGCATTCGTCGACAACTGGTAAAAAGATTATACTTTAAACAAAAGTTTACTCAACGAATGGCGAAAATGTTTTTGGAACGGAGATTGGAGCGTTGAAGATCGGCGAGGAAGTGACCAAATGTCGGAACCCGAAAAACGAGAACGCATTCACAATCGATAAGACTTTTCACGACGGTAGAACTTGGAATCTGAAAGCTCTGCCAGTCAAAATCGGCATTTTGCATTGTAACCTAATGCCGAAACTGAGTCAAAAATAGGTTTAGTCCAGCTAGTTAATTACAGGCTACTTGAAAATGGGTTTGTATTTGACGTGCGATCTGCGGAGTTTCAGACGACAAGAAACCTGCCTGGAGCAAACGGTCATTATAGGCATGGTATGATTCAATCCCTACTGCCAGCCGAAGGGAAACTAGGTGAGTGAATGGTCTCGCCCTAAAGAGAAAGGGAGGTCGGTGGCAATGTCGAGTAGGTTCGCATATAAAGGAACGGTAAAACTAAAAACGTACACTAGGGGCATTTGCTATTATGAGACATACGTCGAAAATGGAACAATGAATTCAGCTTGCTGTTTCGAATTCTTCAAGTCACTCATAGACTGTCACAGTTTCGTTACATGATGAAAATGCTAGACCTCACCGCCATGCCGCAATGACTTTCTAGCTTGAACAAAAGAGTGTCCAACGTTGACTTCAACCAGCCTATTTTCCCGATCTACGTTTGTATGACTACGGGGCTTTTCATGCCCAGAAAAGGACAACTCATAGCAACCATATCACATTATCTATTTACTTTGAGAAGCCGTATATAAGGAGTCACATATTGAAACGCGATTGGTATAAGACTGCCCAGAAGCTGCCAGAGTGCTAGGTTAGGGGTGTGAAAAATAAGAAGAAGAAGATAATTTTTAATATAGTTAAAAAAAAATAATCTAAACCAACCAGTTGGAAAATTGATTCAATTTCAAGGTGTTATATATATATATATATATATATATATATATATATATATATATATGCTGTTTGTTGTGTGTACTGTACTTTTATTCATCTTAAAATGCTATTAATAAACAACGTGATTGCTTGCTGGCAAGCGAAAATGCGCTGAATAAAGAGAAGTTTGATACCGCAGTAGATTCGTGCATTGCTGTTCCATAATTTTTGTTTCCTTAGAGTTAGCGTTTTTAACAGCGGCAACGACGACATCGCGAGTGGACATATCGAATGTTGTTGCAACAGCGATGTTTCTCAATTGACTCTTTTATCTACGACACGTACATATGTTGGATTATCATATACGCGACTGGCCTAGTTAGTCTGCGTGAGGACCCACTGCTGTTTCAGGCTCTCAGTCCCGTGCAGTAGTGCTTGATAATCTACGAAACGAAGTCTGTCCCAGAAATCCCTACAGTATCACAACACCTCACTACAGCAAAAAGGCATATATATATATATATATATACGTATATATACATAGGTAGGCTTAAGGAAAGCTTATGTAGAAGAAAAGGTACAATGGAAGGTCAGATTTTTGCTTTTTATTTTGGTAGAAAATATAAGACACCCGTTGGTATCTGTTAATTGGCGTTTATTAAAAGTTAGCCAAAGTGATATTGCAAATATAGAATATGTAATTTTTTTTTTATTAAATATAGTCGCTCTGTTAAAAGTGGGCCTCCATGGCCAAGGCTGGAAACCGCCGGTCGGATAATTTAATTTTTATTTAAGCTACTAAAGTGTCAATATATTTTACTCTTCTAACTATAAGTAGCTTGTCCTTGATTGAGATCGTTAACTTTTGGCAATACACGGAATTGAATCGACTAGATGCGACTGGTAAGAAGCCATGTCAAAGTATTTAGCCAAAATAGTATGCGCAATTTTTGCAAAACCTTTGTAAATTTCCTAAAGCTTAGGTTTTTCAAGATTCAAATAATAGAAGTAGATAATCATTTCCTTTCATATTCGTATTATTCTGATAATTCACATATTATGTTATTTATTTGCTATTGCAAATTGTCTGTCGTGTTGTCGGTGTATTACGTTGGAAAAACGTGAACGATGCGTTAGTGTTTTTCATCGATTAAATTTTTGTGTGTTTGTTATGGCCATGCCAATTGTATAGGCCTTGTATAGGACACTAACTTCCGCACCACTGGGGTGTAGTAAAAAAATTGGGGTCGTTTCCCCTTTAAAACACTTTATCTGAAGCAGGCAGTTCGCGTAAATGCGCCGGCTTTACTTCCGGTCATTTTTCAATGTGTTAAACTGAAACACGTACCTTCCTGTGCAGAGACTGACGATTTAGCCGTTACAGCTATATCAGATCGAGGCGCACCCCACCGGTTAAAGAGGCGCTGGCGTTATCTCAGCCTTGCGCACGTAAACGCCAGTTGTCACGGGGCACGCGGCGATGCAACGCGTTCTGCCTTTTGTTGACTGCAAGATAACACGCGAACAAATTTTGGGCGTGAATTTTTCGGATACTCAGAAAATCTTGGTCTTTCACTTTTTTCGTCTAAATCAAATTGGATGCTACTGGATTCATTTGATTGTAGACGATAGTTAATAAGCGACGGTTTATAGAAGAATGAGATTTTTAAAGGTCTTGTTTCCGGCAATGTTAAAAACTAATTTGGAACGATTTCAACAACTCGACATTCTACACACATTATCTCCCCGAAAGGTTTCAAACTTTTTTTTTTTTTTTTTTTGAGAATACTTACTTAGACTAGCCATTAGCCACAATGAGTTTGTGTATAGTTAGATGTCTTAACTTGACGCCATAAATTCGGTAAATTACAAACAAATCCGTGGTTCGCTTAAACGGCCTAATGCTTTTGATTGTATTCAAATCACTCATCGACTCGCGTGCACAGTAACATACATATGCACACATAACACGAACTAAACACATACTAAGCCTGCAATTATTCTGAAGAGATATTTCCCTTTTATCAATGCCTTTCGCATCGTAACCTAAACATTTGTTGCTTCACAGGAAATTTTCGGTTCGACAGCGTAGAAAAGTTTCCGGCAGTAGTAGAATTTGCATCAAAATTTGCTGTTAAGGGCAGCAGAATTAAACCATCTGGGTTTTGAAAAAGTCCACGCAAAGAGACGCGGTAACGGCCATATTACACGGAGCTCTGTTGTTACGTAGGCGATGTCTGTTTCAGGCCAACGACACAACAGAGCTAAAGATGACAGTTAGAGAAGTAAAAATCTAATATGCGAAGCCGGAAACTGTGGGGGCGTAAGTGTAATCTTTTGTCAGGATATGTTTTATTGTCGCAGTTAGCTAAATCGTCGTAGCTGCCTAGTCTTCATCATGAAGGCTGCTGGGACCCACACCATCATAGCGTTATAACATACCTTCACATAAGTGGCTTGCTCTTCCAGCGTGACTTCATGTGTATGTTCAAGACCTCTAAAATGCCTCGTATTATACGAGGCCAAACGATACCTTTAACGCGAATATATTTATATTTGCGTCGGTATAGAACAGCTCAACCCGGAGCTGGGACGGACTAGGTGGGTTCTAAAAGGTGCGCAATTATGAATATTACTTCGCACCGATGGCTTACTGAAAAACGACTGTCATAGATGAGTTACAATTGTGGCTTTACGAATACAATATCTGTTTACAGTATCGAACTGATATAATAAAAATTAGCACAAGCTCATATTGCCTGATCCTCTATTGAGACTTGCTCTCTTTCTAGTTGTATGACTACAAGAAAAACATCAGTTCTTCATTAATCAGCTCCTGATAGAAAAGCTAAAAGCTCAACACGTATATAGTGTGCACTTTACCTATAAATTTCATAGAACATAGGATAATTTGTCCGGTAGTGGAGGATCAGCAAAACATTTACCGTAAATTTAGAGAAGGTGCGTATCTGTTGTTTCAACAGGTGCTTGCAATTGTGTACGTTGCTTGCTATCCTATCCTAGGCGCACAAACTGGATAATGAAGGGCTTAGTCGTGTCTCATGCGTACGCATCGTAGAGTGTAGAGGGAACACACTTTCGCTACTGTTAGGAGGAATAGGATCAATTGTTTGACGGTATCAAATAAATTGACTAATCATTCTAAAATATTGCTATAAACTACCATTTTTGGTCACTGCATCTCTATACGAGAAATATTGACAGGCCAACATGCTGATATATCCTAGAGTTAGCGATATTGTAGAAAACGAATTTTGACGGGCTTAGATCAGACATCCTTATTAACCCTGCTTAATTTTCCATTTATAACCTCCCATAACTCTTGTGATTATCGATGAACTAGCCGCTGTTTCTGTTCGAAATTAAACAAAAAGAGAATACATTTGTAACCGATAATGCACCATTCTGCCAGTAGTTGATCTCTCTCTCTATCTCCCCCCCCCCCACTCTTTTGACGCATCGTGTGATTATTTATGGTAAAAAAATTGACCCTCCAGCTTTTTATACGGTTTGTTCGAGTCGAATGTAAATAAGAAAGCTAGACAGCTTCGCATAGAGTTACATGGTCTGCGACAGACCGAAATCTCTCCCCTAAACCCACACTTTTCGACTTAACAGTCGCTCAGCAAACCTGTGCTCGTAGCTCACTAGTATGCCTTTGGCTGGGGATTTTCCATCGTTTTTAACTTGGGAACATATACATACAGTTGACATGTTACACTGGCACTAATTTGCAGCAGTCATTTAGATGCTGATTTGTCGAAATCGAACGGATTCGTTCTCTAGCATTTTCTTGGCAGTTTTTGACGGCGCAGAATTGTGATTCGCTCTGTGGTTGTCTGAGCGACTGAGCTGAAGCCGTAGAAAACAATGGTTATTGTTCATTGGAAAATCGCATGTTAGAGGCTGATCTTATGACTTACCAGAAAACCAAAGTATCTAAACTCTCGGAAACGGGCGTAACTGTAACGTAACCTTTCTCTCGTGTTAGAAGTGGGTTATTCTTTACAAGGAACTAAATTACATTAAATGTTCACTGTGTAGCAACAGCTTGGGCTTTTGGTATCGTGCTTCCTTCACTGTGTTATCCATACATTTAATTTCGTTTGATGGAATATGCATTGAAAATCGTTACCTTTCTCCCAGGGTTTCTTCTTTATCTAGCAATTCCCAATAAATCTGTTGCATAAAGTTAACTAAAATCAACGTTACATAATAAGAGCGCGTGTTCATAATTGTCAGGCGGTTGTCAGTTCAGGGATCGTTATGTTCCACTTGGTGCTATCTCTACCGACACTGGATTTAAAAAATGAGTGAGCTTTCATAAATGTCTATCATGGTGGGGTCTCACCCCATTCCGAAGACATCGTGTTTTTTTTTGCATTGAAATATATTGGAATAGTTTATTTCTGGGTCAAATCTTATTTCTACACGTGGACAAACGGCCATGTCGGTGTTACTATGGAGGAATAGATGAAATGTGTCCGCTTTCTGTTCAGTGAAGCCCACCTGGTGAGCGTCGTCGCATCCGCTAAGAGGCTTTTTTTAAACCACTCAGTGACATGAAACGATGGATCAAGTGGTGTCTCAGAAAGTTATAGAACGGGACTAAATAGTACCCACCGATGCGTGGACGATGCTAACGGATAAGTAAACGTTCAAAATAGATTAAGTAAAAACGGGTCAAGTAATATTAGTACGGAAAAAAAGCGTAAACGAGACTTTTCTCATCTCTTGCAGCATTAGCTGGCAATTAACATATGATATTTTTCTAACGTATTTTTATCGATATCACCCTTGAAATTAGCAAACAAATTGAAATAGTTCATTGATCTGTTTTAACGTTCACAGGTACGTTTGCCTCTATGTATATACTATCTCTAATCGATTTAGACAATAAACGGCTGCTGCTGCTGCTGCTGTTCTAATTGTTGCAATGCTTGTGCTCCGTGGGAGCTCCTTCAGAGTGACACTGGAACATAGGTCGAGCCGCGCAGAATGCACATATGTAATCACCACCAACTTTGTGCATAGATCCAAGACTGGAACATTCGTTCCTTATCCTCAGAACTGAATCATACTTCTGACAAAAACAGATCTCACCGTCCATTGATGTGCCATTTTACATGTGACAGCGTGTGCGTGCGATTATAGGATACGCTGGCAAACGTTTTATCCATTTCGTTGTAAGACAAGTAGTGCTCTAGGAATTCAGTGATGTCGTCTTGATTCCTCGTTAGCTATATGCAGTATTTCAAACTGATTTGTGTCAGGATCGTTTGCGTAATTGTTACACGGAGCGGTGCTGCTCGCTTCTGTAACACCATGTTCTTATTAGCGTTTTTGGTAGCAGCACAAAAGTGCCACGGATGAAATAACAAGTACGGATATTACCACAAAAATGTGCCTAATCTCCCACTCTGCGGTCGTAGTTTCAATTACGAGATTAACCCTACGGTCCACCAACAGGCCTTAAAGTCTGTCTACGTCCAAGTCCTGGGGAATTAGGCTTAACTGACCGATGATGACGAATGTGCTTAACGACTTAACGTAGATGCTTCGGCCGAGAGTCACCTTAGACTACTACAATGTACTCTTTGCGTAGCTTTCGTCAACATTTTTGACAATGAAAACAAAATATTTAGAAATGAAAATAACTGCTCGACCTAATACCTTTTAAAACAATTGGGATTCTATCTCCGCTTGCCTGTATGCATATACTATCTCTAATCGATTTAGACAATAAACGGCTACTGCTGCCGTTTGTGTCTTGTGTGACTTCTCTGAACACAGTAGAAGTTATGTCACGTAGATGAAAGTGTGTTCAAAACATGAACGACTGAAAATAAAAAGCATATAGTGTTTAGTCATTGTCGTAAGAAGGTATTTCCACGACCTCGTGTTTACGACCTCGTCTAAATCTGACACTAGCAGTATATATAACAACGACGAAAAATGACAGGATAACTTACCATGAAACTCAACACTATGTAAGCCTAAGACTATTGCAATATGGATTTAGTTTAAGAACTTGAAATTATGGGCGTACAGTTAATAAGTCCATATTTATTATCTGCGTATATATGACCCAGAACTTTAGATGAAATCGAAGAGTAGCTTGAACTTGAGGCCCTGCTTGTATGGTGTCGTTCTGAATTTGTAATTTTACGTACATAAGAATCAGATACACAGATTATATACATATGTTATATACTTAAAAAGATTAATTTATTCAATCTTATTAAAAAATCAATAAATTCGCCGTTAATAATAATGGGATTACCCATTTACAATAGGTCTACCTGTTGTTATGTTATAGGCTTGTATGACTGAATTCCGGACCGAATTGTCTGTTGGCTAGATATTACTGCAAGATAGGCCCAGCTACAGGATTCTCATACCAAAGGGGTTCGTATGTATCACTTCTAACTTTACTGGCAATTATGAAGGCGCTTAACCCAATGAAAGTAGCAATTGGTATTACAATGGTTGCAGTCCAAGCTTTTAGAATCCATCTATGTGAAAAGTTCTTTTTTGTATACAATTTAAACACAGTCTGATATGACCGATTTTCCAGATCCTCCTGCAAACAGAGCATGATAATTAGTGCAAAATGTGGAATCAACGCGGAAGTAGTTTCTAACGGACGATTCTGAAACCCTCAATCCCTATTTATTTATTTTTTTATATTTTTGATAGGTATTCTAGCTCGATTCAGAAGGCGGATATTAAGCAACTGTATTGTAAAGTATTCCCCCCGGAAGGGAATTGTTTCCTACTTTGCGTCTGATTATAACCAAAAATAGGTTTCTAACACGTCGGTTTCAATAGCACGCACCATACAAAAATTGGTATTATACGCCCAGACAGACCCGTTGTAGTGCATGCCTGGTTTTAGCTTATAAAGTACACAGGGCATTATCTTGCACTCTATACGGACACATTCAGTTGAGTTTGTGATCGGATCATGGATGATGGTCGGGCAAAGTTCTACACGGTAACCTGTTGGTCGTCCATTCAACAGCTCTTTAGATCTTGGCTTTGCGTAAATAATCGCACTGGTCAACGAAACTGAGTCGACTTCGACGATGACGCCCGTTTCTGGCCCTGAAAAGATGCATTCGCGGGGCAAACAAACATAGAGATAACGCATTTAAGCTTACCAGCTTTGCTACCTAAATTTCAGCTGGTAGACGATCACCATATGTGTACTGAATGTTAAAAGAACTGCACAGCAATAAATTATACGTACTTCCTACGTCGGTAATGAACTGTTTAAACGCGACTGGTTTGGTGCCACTGTATACGGTGATGTTGTACTTCGAATATGGTTTCATCGGTCTTCGCCCTCGGCCATGCCTCCACACGCCGTCTACTAAGATGATTGTGATTCGCTGATGTGTTTTGAACCAACAGCCTTCAACAACTGCGGTATAGTTCAGAGGTGGATTTGCGAAAATCACCACAGATGTGCCACCATCATCCTCTAGGTCGGTAATATCTGGAAACACTTCAAGCTCTACGTGGGTCCAATTCTGTGTGCCGACAAGACTCTTGATGCATTGATTCGTACATGAAATATATATATATATATATAACATCATGGTTGTGATAATACAAGGATTATGTAATGGCACCAAAATGGGTCACGTCAAGTTATTATGATCGAAGCTTAGGCGTGAAGCCGGGGGTTGTCAGTGAAAACTCCACTATACATACAATTTGAGCTTGAATGAGGCATTTTGTATTGCAGTAATTCAACAATTGACTTAAACACTGAGTATGCTTAATAATCTATTGGATGTGTTATTCATTGAAGGTCAAATCAGGTAAAAGCAAATAAACTTCGGGGTCGAGAAATAATCGATTTACCATTTTCGCAATAAGAAAATTGTAGCAGTCATATCTTATAGAAGGAGGTTGGTTTTCACAGCCACTCCGACAGCTATATTTGGTCGGCCTTTACTCACCCCCTTTTCCATTGCAAACGAAATGCTTGGTAACAGTACTGACAAGCATATTCGGCGGAACTCTTTCATGTTAGTCGCTTTCGTCTATTGGAGTACCTAGAAGGCGCGAAAAACAAAACGAAGGATAAACCTATGTAGTCATACATGTAACATTACATTAAGTTGAACGTTAACTCGCTTAACAGAGTGTTACAGAGATAGATTAAGCCTGCGTTCACTCTTCTCACGTATTACGAAACAAAAAAACAGGGGTCATAGTTTTCCAAATGTCTTCGCTGTTGTGACGTCTGTAATTTTTGGAAGTGTTCTGCACTTACGTTGCACACCATCGATATCCTTTTTTCTATCAGCGTCAGTTGCAGATTTTTAAAAAAAAATTAATGATTATTTTATATGAGGAGTCCTGCGCTTACGGGTTTGAACTTCCAACAGTTTCTAAATTTTCTGAAATGAAGTAGCCTCATTCTGCAGGTGTTTATGTTTCTGCTTGACAACGAGAAGGATCAAGCAAAATATCGACGAGCTTCATGAATCGTCAAAAAAACCGTCTGCAGCTTTTCGCATAAATATTCAATACATGATTTATAATACTTGTGTGATAATAATTGATTACTCAATGAAAGTGTTCCATAATTTCGTGATCATTAATGATTAATATACGCACGTACGTTCTACCCCGTCACGGTGCACGTGTTATATTAGTGCATACATCTACATGTGATTTCTGAGAAAAAATGTATAAAAGAAACACTTATTTTGCTTATACTTTATTATTATTACTATTGTTATTATGACGTGAATCGCACGTCCACCGCTTTCAAGCATTTTTTCAAATGCGTGACTTGCACCAACACAAAACGACCTGTGTCTACACCCGGATTCGGACCCGGTTCGTGTCACCTTGTGTACCTCACAGCATCACAGTATCGCTGCTGTACTAAAGTACCAGCTGGTGGATTTCATCATAATGCAGAGTCAAAACTCGTACTCATTTGAATTAAGCGGTTTGTTAGCGTGATTCACGCGTCTGTAGATTTTCCGATACCTATATTTAATGAAAATCTATCATCCGTGCGAGGTAATCTCTGCCACTGTTGCGGCCGGTATCCTTCATCGTAAATCTTTGGATCGGTTCAGTCCTAAGGCCAAGCTATATGAACGCTAAACTGAAGTTTCTGGACGCTAAAGTGCGAATTCGCTGGACGGTACCGAGTCTTGTTGTTTAGTCGAGAGAAGCCGTGAACAGAGCGAAATGCTCACATAAACGTTACTAGGTTAAAACTGAACGTCATAGTTTATGCGATGTTACGTTGACATTGATAATGTAATAACTATGGGATAAATTGAAATCAATTTCGAACTTATTCTAATGTCAATGGGTAACTGATCGAAGTTATAATTAACGATTACGTAAGTAAACAGCTTGTAATTATTATACTATCGTTATATGTAATTATTACTATAGCCGATATGTGAGATATATTATTATTGCACTTAAATAAAAAGAGATACAAAGCATTAGCGAGGACAGTAAAAGAAGTTAAAAAGCGGACCGACGTACCCGATTTTCATTCATGCATGCACAAAACTACGTTAGTATCACACTTACTTCGAATTTATAGCTCCTAACCGTAGCGTCTAATCGTTAGCACATTTCCAATTCGCGTTATTAGGCCACCTATGAAAACAAATTGCATCCATTTTATCCAGTCGATTTAATCCGTGGTACATCCGCTATCCACTGTTCTAGCAGACCATACTGACGAGCCTGGGCAACGACGCAAGCACGACTCTACACGCCGAGGTACTTGTTTACATTAGAAAAGCGCTGGTAGTTCTTGACATTTGTGTCTACTTGGAAAATAGCTTCTTGACAATCGCGCAGTGTACTCCCAAAAATTAAAATTGTATGAATAAATGGTAATTGTGTGAAACATAACAAGTATGGTTAGGGCTCAAGCTCAAAGGGTCATCAACGTCAATTATAGCGGTATTATTTATTGGTAGCAGGACGCGGATATAGCGGTGGCTATTTGGGCTCTTCGATATATATATAAGATATCCCCCCCCCCAAGATAGTATATGGCTTTTGTTTTCGATAGATATTTTGATGTAACATATTGGGCAACAATTAGATATAGATATATACTTAGGGCGGAAAACTGCGAGTGCTGCGCAGTGTCTATTCAGCCACGACCTATTGAAAAACTGCATTTTTTTTTTAAATAATCTCTGCTTATACTATAAATAGATGATAACCTGTTCTGAAATTATTCATCCAATGTGCAACTTCTCTGGATTACTTATCTGTGTCTTGTTCTAAGCTGATACAATTTTGGCAGCACTCCTCACCGACCTTTATAGTTGGTAGAGAAGTTACTAAATATGGTTAAATTTTGATTGTGTTCTTAGCGCTCTAAAATTCTATACAAATATCATGTTATTATGTAAGAGAAATAATAATCACAAATCAATTAACTAACAGCGCACGCGCCGCTTTAATAACATCACGAATGTGCTTTATTTTTTTTAACAACAATTTTTTTAACAAACCACTCCAGCAACAGTTGGCTTGCTACTGCTAAACTAAACATTAATACAATTTATATATGCTTAGAAGCATATACTCATCTGGAAAAGTCAATCATATACCCACGAATCGAAATAGTTTCATAAACCCATGAAGCTCTATTTAGCCGTTCCATCATTAGTGTATATTTACTTATTAGGTTCAATTTAATATTTCATTCATTGTAGACGATAGGTTTTAGGCAGGGCGGATATATCATTTTAGCAAATTTGCTTGGTTTAAGGTGTTTCTGATATCCACATCTCCAAGGGCTGGCGACATGTTGATGCGTTCCAAGTGTAAATAAGCGCCATTCTTTTTTGATTTGTAAATGCCTATCATGAGAGTTAGGAGTAGCAGTGACAGCTCTTCAGAAACCTAGTCCACCAAAAATGAAAAATCTTTTTGGGAGGGTCGCTTTCTGTCAATACAAAATTAGTCAAAAACACCTATTTTATTAATAACTAGCGCCCAGCTTTCGCTTATTCCTTTGACTACATTGTATGCTATTTTGTATTCAGCAAATTTTGGTTATATCAGAGCTTTCTCCTGTACTCAGCAACGCTATTTGCCAAGACAGGCATATAAACACCCTATCTGCTTGCCTGCGGATGGCCAACGGTACGAAAACCCCAATCCAAGGTTTGACATCTGAGGTTCGGCGTCAAACCATTGGGTGCACACGGAGCCCCAAGGAAACTAAATGGATTGGCTCTGTAGGGCACAGCTCAAGATGACAGCTCGTGGTAGGAAGTGCTGATGATTTTCGAATTACAGAAATGATTGCCGTCGTTGCTAACACTGATCTTACTTCAACGCAAACGTCGATTTCTGGCACTGAATGCCATTTAATTAGGTGTGAATAAGAAATATTTCTTTGGTGGTGTATACGTTTGTCTTCTAAAACTGAAATTGAATCTATACTGGCAGGTGATATTATATATGGAAAATTATTGCTGGAATTTTGCTAAGATACCCGACAAAACGCTTCAGAACAGGCTGATGGCATGTAAAAAAAAATCTGCTCGGGAAGACTTACAGTACGGTTCCAAACGAGAAAAGACGGTATAGACTAAAGTCTATTGAGACAATAAAAAATGCGTACGGTTCTTGGCGTTGGCTTTTTCGCCATCATTACACATACACCGTAACCATCTTTCACCGCAACTGTTGTTCTGCACCGCCGAGATTTACCTGAATAATGTCTTTCCGCCCTATTCTATATTTTTTCCACTATTTTCTAGTAAATGTAGGATTTTATTTATTTCGTTTTGAAAAGTTCTTCCAGCCCTCAAGTGTAGATTATTACATAACCTATTACTTTAAATGCCGGCCAAGGTTTAAAAGATATGTGCTTTTCTTTTACTTCCGACGCCAGTCATGAATTCTTTGTATCCGACTTACTCAGTGTCGTTGTATACGGCGACGGTATACCTCGAGAAAAATTTACATGACGCTGTATCTGACCCAGTGATTCAATGACTGTTCCTAAGGAAAATGTTAATCAATCAGCACCCGCGTATTACCTCCGTATAATTAACTGGGGGGTGGGCTTGAATTATAACTGATGGATTGCTATAGATATGCACCTTTTGGAAAAAGAAGTTCTGAAATAAGTTCGTACATTAAACAACAAAAGTTATTATTATTATCATCGCAGAGATATCAGGAGGCCGTAATCTAGATATTGTAATCATTTCGATTACGTTTCCAATGTACATAAATTTTCTCATGTACTCTTATAATGATGATAACGAAAAATAACTGATGTGTGTACATAATTTTTCAACGCAAATTGAATAATATACACTACTAAAGTAATGAATAGATTTGTAATTCTAATGAGTGAGTACTTGCTGCCATAACTGCCCGAACAAAAGTATAGGTAGCCTTAGTGCATTTCGCTATATGGTACTCACCGGCTAGCGATGTTAATAAATTCGTCGAAAGCTTTGCAGCTGCCACGAAAGCGACGATAAATTGGCCTACCGGTATCGAACGATTATGTGGAAATTGCGATTGATGATGAACGCATGTGAGAATTCTTCCTATTGAATGGGGAGGTAGTTGAAGAGTTCTAAGGTATTCTAAGGTACCAGCTATGGCGCCAACCTGGGCACAGGCTATTGGAACTAGACTAAACATCCATTGTCTACAAATGTATATTGTTTGCAGTCTAGTGGAACAGACGTGTAACCAACATTCTGAAGCGATATAAATCAGCTTCGAAGATTTGTACAGTTGCAGTCTTATATGCTTTGTTTTCTTCGTTCTTCGCTTGCATACAATTCTCCGTTATTTACCACGACAATGGCCTGCAGACCAGACGTTTGTCCAACACTTTCCTTCTCTTGCGTTCATCTGATCTGAAATATGACCATCCTAGTACAATACTCATCGATGCAGCTAAAACCTAGATATCACGATCAAGCCTTCTGGTTATTTAGTGTCTAATAGGACACCTATATCTACCTACTGCACCGATAAAGTGGGCCGACGACATTTGGCAGTCTATCTGGAATGAAAATAGCTGCTACAATATCGACGATAGAAGTTCCTACTTTAACATAACGCTTCTCGAGTACTTCTGGATTTAAATGCCCATAGAAATATTTTTGCCATATACTTATTCTCGTGTAGGATATTTATCACGTGGCAGTTTAACTGCATATCCACAACTTCTTTGTAGTCGATAGTCTACTAGCTAATTACATGTGTATGTTTACGGAAAATAGCTTTAAAGGGGAACGTCTTTCATCGGCACAGAAATGGTTGAGTGAGGTTGAGTATGTATCGAAAACGAAGGACAATATTAGGACAATATTTATTGCATTTTTGCGAATGAAAAACGCCAAAACCTTATCTGCGAGGACGCGCGTTTTCCGTCATACGTCATAAATGGGCGTCACCAAGTTAAGCAATGGATTTTAGACGAATTTTGATTTTGTGTAGAAGCAGTTTCTACTGGCATCTACCAACAAGCATAATTATATTGATGACTGGGGTCCCCGTAGAAAGGTGATAGGTAACTTTGTCTTTTCCATACTGTGAGTCGAGGTTCGTAGCGTCCGTACTTCTAGGTCAGTGGAGTGACGCCTCTAGTGAAGCCGCATAGAGCGTGACGTTGAAGATTTGACATCCAAGTTTTTAATATCGCAAGAAACAAGCAACTCAATGCGGAAATGTATTTGCAGATTTGTTGATGTAGCAATAAACTTTTCTGCCAGGGCTAAAACCTTTCTGAGCCGATATGCTCCTAATGGATGAAATTAGCCTTCACCATCGGCATGAAAGAGGCCACCCCCGAATACATTCAGAGCGGGGAGCCTGTTGACACTTACGCGCAGTAACCACGCCACCAAGATAGCCTATATTATTTAACCATAATATGGTTGTATGAAACGACGATTATGGCCTCGAGGTAGACAACTATGCAGGTTCGTTAAACGACTTCGTGAAGCTGTTCGCTCTTTGTGACTTTTCGTTTTCGAATGAGCTCAGAAAAAGTTTTCTGTGTCTCTCTTGTCTCTTACCTCGTCCGGGCTTGTTTTCATCCCAGAAGCGCAGGTAGCACACAGCTTCTAATCATAGCTCTTTAGGTAGGGTAATGAATGCATTGAAAAGTACAAATATGACAATGCGCTCCTAGAAAATGTACTTCGGAGGGTTAAATCGCGCGTCAATGAAAAGACTAAGCGATAGAAACTTTGTAGGCCTACTAGAGCTGGCCCTGCAGACCAGACAACACGTAACAATAAGCACTATATATTAGAATATCCATATGTCAACATGTTGAATGAAGGCCTTGTATTTTTTATGAGGTTAATGTGTAAATCTTGTAGTAAACTTCGCAAAAACATTATTAAGAGGATTCTTGTCGAGTGCATAATGTATAAGAGTGTCGACAAATATATATATATATATATATATATACGATTCTACCAAACAGAGAGTTGTTTTCAGCGGCAATTCGAAAATTGGACAACAGAAGTTTGGCTTCCTATAGGTGCTACCTGGGAACAAAAAATAGTTTTCATCTATTTGTAAATTACCAATCAATATGTAAAGATATGTAAATTAGCAATCAACATTCTAATTCCATTTTAGATTGGGTCGGGCTTGCTCATTCTTTTAAGGAATCATCTGATGCTATTCGATACATGTTCAGCTGTTTGGCACTTAATCAAAAATATGCGGAAAAATCTAATCGATATATGGCATAAGAGCACGGTCATTAATAGAAGGTTCGTCATGCTTTGTCATCCCAGATAATATAGGGGCGTTTCCCATAAATGACTTATTTGCATCAAGAAATGCAAATAGGTCATTGATGGGAATTTTTTAATGCAATTTAATGAAACCCTACCTAATTTATTTGTCACTCAATTTAATCAAATGTATTATCGGTTTATTGCACCTGGCGGGAATGTTTGTGTTAGCTCCGTTTCCTCACTTACGTTATACTAGCATCTCTGGGCTACAAAAAATTAGGCAGGTACATAAGGTATTCTGAATTTTCGTTTGCTCGCTTAGACGACTAGGAATAATGTTGCGCCTTCCAAACACAACAGGACTTTGAGAATAGAACAGAATAGATCGATGAACTGTGAGCACATGAAAATCTGTCATCTAAAGCAACTACTACTAGACCAGATGGATCATTTGGTAATAATAGATGCATGAATACAAATAGGCGAATTCGATCGATCTTTGATCCTACCACATGGCATTGGCATCGTCAAAAGTAGCAAAACAGCTTGGCCATTATTGAGGCAACCGTTTTTGTGATAGAGACAAACAAAAACATTTACATGCACAGAATGTAGTCAAAGGACAACTCAATACGACAGTACCTTAATCATTCTTAGTTGTGTTCTACTACCGGAACAACGTGGCATCAAATATAAATGAAGAAAGTATATTACGTTTAAAGGCATAGATGTCCGCGAAAACCATTATAACCGCAAAAGTAGTAACCTGTATAGATGTGACCAACCGAATTCGATGACTTCCCATTCATTGCTTTAGCACTAATTAACTGACGAGCTCTTAAATTTTTAGGAGAACGCTATTGTGGATCAACTATATATATATCAATTTCAGTTAATTTTGATTTTTCTACGGAAAATTCGATAGAGCAAGGTTAAGCAGCAATAACCAAGTGCGATTGTTAGGAAAATATTTATTAGGCAATTGGCATATTTTTCGTCCGAAAAACGCCGTTCCGTCGTTAGACGGTTCAAACAGTTGGCCTCTAGCCTTCAGCCATCCGGATTAATGCTCCGCTGTCACGAAACGACGTGCGTCTCTGCCCCGATTTAAACTTGTACCACTATATGTTTCCAAGAGCTTGCGAGGAAAACGCAATATCACTGGGAACACAAAGGAGGGCATAGTTCGTTTTAATCCAATATAGCTAGAAAAAAAAAGAGGTTACTTGTGATTTACAGAAAATTAAACCAAGCTAACTGCTGCTTGAAAAGTTAGTGATATTAGAATGCTGTGCACGAAACCGTGTTAGAACCTACGAGGGCATTTTCACAGCAAGATAGAGAAGCATTTGGCAGCTTCGCACGCGTTTAGCTGTCTAGACCAGGGCTATATGGTACGCAATTGAGTGCAACATCGATTTCCATAGCAACGTATCTTTTAACATTCCAACCTTTCTTACCAAACGTTTATTTCCTTGCTTAATACTATAAAACTATCATATTAGCCTAACACATTTCCTTAATTTGACCGCTACCTATGCGAAATAGGTTACGTCTCTAGCTTTTACGTGTATTCCCAAACACCAGCTAAGTGTTGACTAATACAGCGTGCGTGTGTGGCGCCCTCTGACGGGAGCTTGACTCAAATGCAAGATAGATACGTAAGGTTATCTGATTTCCGTTCTCCTACACGAGCAACTAGAGCAAATCAATAGAGAATGCGCGTTTCTTTATCTGTGTACGGTCATATGTGTCATTCACAAAGGATTTTGGCATTAGCTCCATGAATAGCTATGGCTCACTGTGAGTTTGCTTGCAGTGATCGTCTCGCTGGACTCGTCGTCCTGTGACCCACCGGTATTGTATTCGAACCGACTCACAGCGTTTTCCAGCTTGCTAATCTACGGAAAAGGCGGACGGACAAGCCGCACGGTAGGTGGAGACAAATCATCTACCTTTCCCCTTTCGCGTATGAGAGCTGCCGCTCTGCAGAACGAAGTGTGTGTGTTCTGCTCGTTTTTCGTATGCTATAGTAGTTAACGATTGCTGCTATAGGCCGAACAGGGCCGGCCAGACCTGAACGAGTCGACTGGTTCGGCTGAGCGGCCAGGATTCGCGCGTTCTTATAGACCTATCCAGCAACCACAGAAAGCAGCACGATCGTGCCCTGTTCATCTTTATCGCAATATACTAGCGATTAGGGCCTGTAATCTGGCAATCGGACTATCCGCCTATTGGTCGGTTTTTACCGCAGGCTTCTGTTGCCGTTGCGCTTGGCGGCGGTGGCGGCGGCGGTGGTAGCGCTAGCAACGGCGCCAGCGCATGCGCGCTGCGTCCACTGGAGTCAATCGCGCTTGTGTTGTCATCATTATCACCGTCAACATCCATTCGGCCTCCGGCGGCCCCAGCACGGTTGACATCTCGTGAGCAAGCGCAGCACGACTAATCACTGTAGCACATCAAAGCTAGATCCAAAATACCTGCAACAGCAGCAGTAGTGCTATTCATAGTTAATGGCGATCGCGATGAGCTGCTACTAGCACTCTGCTGGTCGGCCGGTATCATAGCATCGCTTCTCTGTTAGCGGGCGCCGTCTTGGTGAACAGTGCGGTGTGTTGCCATTTTACGTAGCTACACTGTTGTACCTATAACGTTGGTGTTGGTGATGACGACTGGAGTAGCAGCGGCGGCGGCGGCGGCGGTGGCGGCGACAGTGGTCAGCAGTAAAGGGCAGCGTCTGGCAGCAGATCTAATGCAAGTATCGCACATGTACGCCTGTGAAATGTGCCGCGATCCAGCAGAGTTCGCGAGAGGGCAGGCTAGGCTTTAGAAGAGGAAGATTCGTTCGGTGGAGGGAGATTTTGCGACTTTTAAGAGTAAAGACATGTTCGAAATTGGTGCTCACTACAGCTTTTGTTTTGTGATTGGGCGTCTGGAGTGCGTAGGGCTACGAAGAGTTTTTTCGGTGTTTTTTTTTCGCCAAAATGGTGCAAATTGAACTATTGCAAATTCGAGGTTTGTGATTATCTCTACCTAAAACAAGGCGAAATAAGCTTAGCCGCATGTATTGATTTTGTTAGGGACGTAACTTGTGGTGCCTCAATAGCTGAGAAGAGGTCAGCAGTTTGGTTGGAAAAGAAATTACGCGTGGAGGTAACTGAACAGATCGTTGCCTTTTAATTTAGAAGCACGCCTACAGACATGCGAAGTACGGTCGATAAGTAAAACTCCACTTTGCTTATCGTGTTGCCAGTTGAAACAACCAGATGAACGAAAAAGACGTGTTCTAAACATTACGTCCGAGGAAAATGTAATCCAAAATCGAAGACAGGCAGTGAGACACGCCGCCGCCGCCGCCGCCGCCGAATCAACACACAAGCAAACCGACAAGCTAAGTGGAGCAATTGGAGCTTACGGGTATTTTCCTATTGGGACAAAATGCACTCCACTTAAACAATGACATCTCTACTTGATTAACGAATGCACCAAACTGGCAAATGTCGTGGACTAGTCTTCGAAAAAATTGAACACGCCGTTTTACGGCCGCGTTCAGTATTTCTGTGATGTAATTTCATGCTCAGTAAACGCAAATAAATACAAGAAGTCGATTTCTGTTAACGTAACAAACGAACGCATTGAAGTTGTGGTTCACATCTCGTAGGCATATGTAAGTGCGGAAATATGGTCGTGCACGATACCCGTTCCTAGCTGAAACTTCGTTATGCGCGGACAATGTTCACTAGATCGAATCTAGTAGCTCTCGACTCTGACGTCTGTTAATTCTGATTGGATTAAGTTCCATCAATGTGTTTTTACTCCGTGCGATTCAAAGTGGCCTCGAAGCATATAAACCTCCGGGGAACGCTACGGTTGTGAGTACTGCTAAGAGACTGTAGCTATTAGTGTTAAGGGGTTTCTCACTTAGGTCACATCCCTCTAAGATTGTGATCGTCGCTATAGCGATAGCAAAAATGGCTGGGAAAGTGGACACGTTATATGGCCAGGCAGATCCGATAGGCTCGAAGAAGAACTAGAAATCACCCGTGTTTCATATAGTCTGCGGCTTTTGACATGTTCCACTTGCATTACTTAGCCTCTTTACACTTCTACACCCCTATTATAGGGTTAGTTGCGCTCTACGCTTTGCTATAGAGGGAGTATGTTAGAGAGATCGCAAGCAAGCTAATTCTTCATTCAGGTTCCGAATACACAATAGATGTATTATTACTTTTTCAGGATTGTGCGATTTTTAACCTTAACCTGCATGGACGGAGCGATTAACCTTGGTATATATTTAAATTAATGAACAATTACGTTTATATGTTAGTTACTGCAGCGACAGAATTGGTAATGTTTGCTTGCTTGGAGGTATTCAGGAACATGATAGGCTTATGTTAGTATTTCTAAATTAAAATTAGAAGTTTTAGCGAAGTTATGCGAAAATAACGACAATTTTGCCTATTACATATAACAAATGACAACTGGGATCTTTCTAAAACCGCTGGTACCGCCAAATATGCCAAACGCGTCAAGGGGTGTAGAGACGCCAAAGTAAATGTGAAGCCCAATTTTTCGTTAATGTACCATCTCGTTTATGCTCAATTGATGTATTTTAGCAGACAAGTAGTAGCAATAGAAAGCCCACTCCATGTCAAATTAAACTGGGTTCTTCTTACCGACCTTTTTTCGTTAATATATTGTCTAACAATTTGCAAATATATCACATTTTGAGCCTTCTGCCTTGATCCGAAAGATTTATGCGGCAAATGCCTCGTATTAAACTCGTCATTCACTGTGAAACTTAATAATAATTTTTTTTTTAGAAATCGGTTGCGAGCTTGATTGAGCACAAAATAATGTGGCTTTTATATCTACCTGTTACTGATAACAGGTACTTCTTGTATATATCTGTATGAATGTGCTTCCACTCGGAAAAAGATCAATTTATGCTGAAGAAGTGTGGGCCTCCTACGTCGGTTATACGTTTTACGGCGGAGAACAATTATTCGCGGCTGCCCATTAACCGTAACAAGAAATAAGCATATGACTTATTCTCTTCGAGAAATTCATACCGAAAGGCTTATCAGCTCAAAAGATCCGCATGCGACATTGCCAGCCCGCTCATAGTTTCCTACCTCTACGTTCTAACCTATAACACAGTTTGGTACAGACAAAGTTTGTTTGTACGACCTCGTGCTGACCTACTGAAAGTAGGTTATATATAATTCCTTAATTATCTGCTCGATTTATATTTCGGATGGGGTTTTATTTGAAAGTGCTGATAGGAGCATGACTGTCCTTTTCGCATCATTTGTTTGCGATACAATAATAACAAATAACTGCTAGCATATCTATTGTGCTGTGAGAATATTTGTGTCTTTATCTAATTTTTATGACGCTGCTGTCTATGTGATGACTCAATGTGGCTTTATCCGTGGTATTTCCTTATAAAGTACCGCTTTTTCTTATATTTGTTCCTTCAATTCTTTGCCGTTCTTCTTAATCGTAATGGAACTGCTGTGCTTTCTTTAAAAGATTCGCCTCTATTTTTTACCCTCGTATTCGACGAGTACTATTTTATGCGGCCTTCCCAACTGTATGCTGCCAGATCGAATGGCATTGAGCAGTGCGGACGTAAAGCGTCGTTCGGTCTCATCTCGACGCCTGACCCCGAAGGAGATGCATCTTTTATCTTCAACGATATATCAGCCACTCTCTTTCCATAAAATGGCTTTGTCAAAAGTTCCTAAGAAATTAGCAAGAAAAAGAAAAGACACATTGGGGCAATGAAGTGCTGTCTTAATGGCTCTATTTGTATTTTTCACTCAAACATCAGAATGACCTATCCGTACAAGTCAATGTTTTAACGTTCGGATGTTCTGAATGACGTAGAGGCGAGTTATTCAGTAAGCGTACGGAAAAGCGAATCCTCTATCTTAAAATGACAATATGTTTATCATCGTCACTATTATTATTACTATATTATTAACAAGTATAGTGTGTTAGATGCGCATTTTTGTCGCACGACAGGTTACATTTTTATCATAATCTTTTCCCTTTAGTGTAATGCAAGCCAAACACTGTTGAATAGTTGATTTGTACTTTTTTTTTTTTCATTACTAAAATGAATGCCATATAAACATAGTTGAATAGTCGGCGAACAGTCTGCTTCACAGAAAAACAAAATACAGTTACGCTACTATTAGCCGCTACGCTATAAATATGGATCCCCCCCCCCCCCCCTGCTTGACGACAATAAGACTTTTAACCAACATCATGCTCATGATATTATTACGCATCGAAAACACAAGAATTCAGTTAAGCCGATAAACAGTGCTCGTTTTTCTAGATATCGGTATGGCATGGGTTAAATAGGCGACGAGTGTTTTCACAGTCATTTTCAACTGCAACCCTTCGCCTTTCCCCTCCTACCTTTCCATTCTCCGTTCTTGATTCCGTTTCTGAATCACATCTATATTGCAGTTACTTGCAGAGCAGTTGCGTTCTTCTGTTAGAGCTCAGCAGCGTGTCAATAGGACCTCAACAACGAAAATTGCCGCAGCGCGACCCGTCGGTTGGTCTGCCTTACCACAATTCAGCCATTTACGATGCTGTTAGTATACTTGCATTCACTCAATGCAGGCGCTACGACTACCGACCATCAGCATCATCACTGCCAGAAATGGCATCAAGTACCTTCAGCATAGTCGGAACCACAGGAGCCGTCAGCCTTGGCCTCCGGCTAGGCTCAATCGGGGCCGACCTTCACTTTCTGATTCAGAAATCAGCTGAAGTCAAATGCACCGCTCCATTGGGCAACATCGTCGTACGTTCGCTGGCCTGCGCCGTTGCTTGCTGGCCCGGCTGAATTAAGCGACTCGTTTTGTCGCCGCTGCTGCGACAGCGGCAGCAGTCCGAGTGTTATGTTCGGAACGGAGCTAGCATAAACCCGGGAGCGCGTTAACCCAATGATAACTCGGTTCGGTAATTGGTAGTCGTAACGAAGACTATGATGATGATATGGCGGTGCCAAACCCATTATATGCTCTTGCACATTGATGCTGATGTTCGACTAGATGCTACTTGTTGGGTCAGTTTAGTTCAGGCCAGCAATGTCTATTTTTTTAGCGTTATTGTGGGCCGCTTTTGTCTAAGAGCTATATGGATCTATTATGCTGGAGATACCGACCAGCAAACAGAGCAGCTAGTTCTCACTGCCGCGAATAGGTCCATCTTCTGTTTTCACTGCTGAGCCACGAATACGTCGATACGGGGCAGCATTTGGTCTGTTCGTAAGTGGCTGTCTTTTGAAACCGAGAAGCGGGGTAGTACGTTTTGCCAGAGACGTTCCGGAACTGCTTCCCGCATTGATAGAAGACAATTCGCTCGACTGACATGAGTTTGCTTGCTTGCACGCAGTACAGAAAGTAAGAGAAGAACTGAATCGTGATAGGGGCAGTAACACGAGTGTTGGCGTACCAGGGCATCCAATAAAAAGCCATGAAGAGGAGTTTCTGAACAGCGGAAAGGATTCACGGGAGGAAAGTTTTTACTTAGTGTCAAGTAATGACTTTTACCACCCATTCAGTCGTTGGCGGTAATATCTGCCTTGACAGGGAACAAACATGCGCTAAATCGAAATATATATTTCTTGGTCCGTTGCTTTTCTGAGAAGAAGGCCTGAGTAAGAAGGAAATAAATCTAATACTATTTTTGCTTTTAGCAGTTGTTTAAATCAAATGTGCCATAACATCGGATTAATCTCGGCATTGTTCTCCAACTTCTAGACAATATCCTGTCTGAGCTATTGTCTATGAGTAAATTTCAGATCTGTACACGCAACCCTGCAGGTTGTCGCTAAAACTCATACTGTTTCTTGTTGTTTCACGTTCTTGTTTAATGCATTACAATAATTATATCGATAAGTAATAATGATTGCCAGAGCTGTCAATATAACGACTTTTATTTTCTATGCAATAGAAAGACGTATATATAATCGATGGAAATCGGCATTTAGTAACATTCGATAGTTTATTGCCTGGCAATGGAACATTTATTGATCCGTGAGCTAAAGTATTGCGCTACCATCCAGAATCGTGAGAGGATCGCCTAGTCCCTAGGGAGCAAAGCTTTTTAGTAGCGCTTGTGGGTTCATGGGGCTAACGTGGGCCATACGATTAGATTCTTTACAAGGTCCCAGTCACAGTTCGGTGTTTGATGAGATATTCCGTATTCTACGTTGAAATGCGCACGCATGCCACATCTGTGCAATCTAAAATAGATCTAATTGTAATAATGTGAGCGTGGAAAAACGCCAGGAACTTCTGCTGATGTTATATATGCATAACATAAAACGTAATAACCTCATATGTTAGCTTTTCTAGGAGACCCTAAATAGTAATAATAAGTTTATTTATAGAATTGCGGAAGCGTTTCAAAAATACTTCTTTTGGAGTTCTAAAGTGATCTTACTTTGCTTATGTGCTTTCAGCGGACCCATACAGCCCTAGCAGCCCTTGAACACTATTTTACATATTTTGTTCACGCTGTTTTTTTTGCTTATTATGACCAGATCTACTGTAGTTAAAGAACCTGGAGTCGAAATATAACATGGCACGCCTATTATAAGCCATATGATCTTCTATTGTGTTAACTAATCGTTACTAGCTATTTTCCTCTAGATGGTCCTGTGGTAAACACTGTAAAAAAAATAACAAACATATGAGTGAGTAAACACGCTACATAAAGCGCCTGACAAATGTCAACCGAACAGGCGAGTGAGCCGCAGCTTCTTATTTTTTTGGATTTAACGGAAGTTCGATTGCATACGTCGATTCGTTGTAACTACATAATAGTAGTAATAACTTATTATGCATTATGTTCTCGCGTACAATTTCTGTCATTTTTTATTCATTTTAATTATTGCTAATTAATAATCTTTATTAAATATTTCAGTCAATGCGCTGTCGACCTATTACTTCGAAGTTATACACCCTTGACAAATACTCCATTTTAGTGACTATCCCTTGTTGACGGTGAGCCTACCTGCTAATCAACAAGAGCTAATAGCTACTGTAATTAAAATTCTGAAGAACTATCACCATGAATCGACGTAGAAGAGACGCACAAGTAACAGCTGAGGGTGAAGCCCGAATGGATGTCCTGAAGAAGTTCGCCGCGACTCAGGTGCGATAACACCCCAGTCGTAGTAATCAGATATAATACTGGTTGATTGAGTACTATTTCTGCATAATGCTCTTATTTATCTTCTTCTTTATAGCTTCTTCTTATGATTAGCTTCTTTTGTATGAACACTCTTAAAAGAGTTAGTAAGTAGTTCGTACTGATTACAGTGTGCACGAGCGCTATTGCAAAGATGATAATCAACATGCTCATTTGTTGAGTTATTCCCAAGCCTAAGGCTGCATGAACTAGCATGTGTCTAACCAGAGCAGAAACTTGTGGTAGCATATCCTCGGCACTATCGTCTATTCCTTTCTGCGGGCCCGTTTACTTGCAGGGTACTTACCATATATAATTGTAGTAACCTGTCTTTGTCGTACTGTCTACTGCACAGATGCTAGCGGTTCACGCTGCGCGTCGCTCGAAACGGCAGCGATTAGAGCGTGCCATGACGACCCGAACGCTTCAGAACGTCGAAAATCTGATGAGATTTCAAAAAGCCGGCATGGCTAATAGAAAAGAGGCTTTCGTTGAATGTATAGCGAATATGGGTAAGCATTGTAATGAGGGTTGCTGTCGGACTTCATTCCTTTTACTTTTTTTCTGCCATTTTCAGCTATTATCACTACAACCGACTCTCGTAGCTCATATATTTATTTACTCACAGTCATTTCAATTATATACATATATGTAAATGTCCTCAATTGCATTAACGCTTTTACCATCATCTGCGCTAGGTATGATGAGTTCATTTGATTTTCTCTTTTCTCATTGTTCGCTTTTCTAGGTACTCAGGCAATCGATGTCCTCTCACAAGCTATCGAACTCGAAGACGTTACTCCGTTTATTGCCCCTGTTACCAGCACGCCGGCAAGCGGCATTCGGATCCTCTCCAACGGCAGTCCAGTGCCTTCAGACAATATTAATCAACAGGCCGCCGTGGACCTGACCATTTTCTCGAACCGGGTGGACGCAACCACGGGTCTGAGTGGCCCTCGTCTACAGCATTCGCCCTCGCAACGGCAGAATCGACAGAAAACGCACCAACAACAACAACAATCGGTAATTACGCCGACACCACAGAGAACGATTACGCCAAATTCAAACGGCGCCGTTCAGCCGGAAGGTTTTATTACGCCCGCTAGCGGCGTATCAAGCTTAAGTGTCACCCTCGAAGCGATCCCGGACGGGCAATTTTTCGATTTGTTCCGGTTGAAACGGGACACGTTTCTTTACCTGTACGAGGAACTTTGCCCCTACCTGGAAGGAGATTCCTACAGCGCTCAGCTCAATATAGGTGCGTCATAGAATTAGCAGAAATTGTGAAGATTTATTTTTTGCAAGCTGTCGATACAATAAGAGCTCTTATCTGAAAGCCAGAATACGTAATAATTGATTAAATATCTCCATACATAAATGACACCCTGTATTGGCTGCGAGAGTTGCTGCGTGAGATCTTGAGCCGTACAAAGTTAACTGAACTAATCTAAACGCATTCAATCTTGAGCTCTACTATATTCCGAGGCTCGTGTAGTAATTATAATTGTAAATTTTTATAGAAGTAGATATTTTAATGTAATATGGATAAAATTTAAATATTTACGAAGCCAACACGAGACGTTAAACACAGTTCCCGGTGGTGACTATAATATTTGTGATTATCACATAACCTGTTTCGTATTGCTACCGTTTATGCGACTATTGAAACTGTCATTCTAATGCAGCGATCGCATTGTGGGTCCTGGGCGGCTCGGAGCCCCTTCACACGCCGTTGCTACTGATACCGGAGGAGCAGCGAACGGAATGCACTCTGGATTTTTGTCGTTGCGTCACCAGATGTTTAATGCCAAAGGTCAGTCAGAAAAATACGAAACTTTTTGCATTTCGGCATACTTCAACTACTCTATCAACGAAATGTTGTTTGTTTCTTCGATGCTGTCTCTTCAATGCTATGCCGTTTTGAAGCAAACTTGGAGGACTTTGACCCATAACGCGTGGCTGTTACGCCCATCTACCAAGTTACCATTTGACTCACTTAGACCCTCAAACCTATATTTGCTAGAAATTGTTTCTATGTACGCATAACTGGTTTTGTTGAAATTCATACTAGTGATTCCACGCTGGTTGCAGTTGAACCTGTCAGAGTATTCGAATAAGGGTACGATATAAGAAATAATTACCAGCTTAGGACCAGATATGATTAATTGATAATATCTCTATTTGCTTGATTTGCAATCTTATTAGATCTCTATCTACTAGAAGCAGATTTTTTTTTACCCTTAACGTGATAGCTGACGCTCATGGATGCTTGACAATTGCATGAACATTCATTGACGAAGAAGAAATATACTTGGCTTTTTTAGTTACTAAAGCAATCAATCAAATTTAGCTAAATTAGAAGCATATATACAAATGCATGTTATATTATTGCTATCAGATCTTCTTGAGCGTTAATTAATCGATTCCTCCCTTACTCACCTGTTAATAGGTAATTTCAATAAATGATCGAATGGATACAACAATGTGGAACTTTCAGTGCAAATTTGGCCTTCGAAATTGTGCGGGTGCATTGAATTTTACCCATATTCCTGTGCATCTCGGGGATAATCTCAAAGACGATTGTGAGTCACCTTTGCAATAAACTTGCATGACTATGTTCAACTGTTGCTATTGCTAAGTCAATATGTAGATAGCGGCGCCAATTATGAATCATGTTTGTTAATTATGATACAGCAAACGAAGATCAGAAGTGTTTTGTTCTTCTCTTTTCTTCTTTTTTTTTTAGTTTATTATATAGAGTTTTATAATTAATCTCGTTATCATTCTCTTGATCCTTATAATATTATTAGTATTATCACTACTACTACACTATTTACAGCAAAATCTCTGATTCAGTATCGAATAGGATGACTCGTTTGGGAGTGGCCCCACTTGGCTCACGAGGGCAAAAAGTATCGTAATCAAGATATAACCGAACAGTATTTTTCTCTGTCTAATCAACAGTATACTTACGTTTGCTTGCAGCGTGCGAATACGTAAACCAAGCTGGGTTCCGCTCAATTATAATGCAGGCTGTGGTGTCGTCAGATTACCGATTCTGTGATCTCTCCATTGGCTACCCAGGTCGAACTCCAGTTGATCGAGTCTTATACAATAGCGCTCTATGGCGTAAAGCTGAGTCCGGTGTATTGTTTCCAACATCACCAGGAGGTCTGTTGAATTTCTTGAGAATCGTCAAGAATTTAGTAGCCAGCGTGTGATGTATTTGAATCATATTACTGAGAAGCTTCACATTTTATTCTTTTCGACAAATGATGCCCGTCATTTCGAAGTTCCGATGTGAACGTTTCAGACTTCCATGTATTACTCACATTGCTTTGAGCTCTTAGGCTGTGTTGTTATTATTATTATTAAAAAAATTGCCGCTTAAACTTGAGGACACAGAGGCAAAGCAAACACTACACAAAAACAAAGAAAAAATTATCCATTAGGCAGACTGGGTATTCAAATTTTGTTCTCTTTAAACGTACATTTATAAACTTAATGATCATTGTATCTATTTTCTTTGGATAGAATCTCGATTGGATTTCACTTTCATCATCCTATCGAAAGTTACAGTTAGATTAGGATAATTGATTGTATGGGGGCTTCATCGTATAACGAAGCTTTATCTAACCTATTTATATTCGTGTCGTGTATTCGTTTTGCCACATTACTTCAGAACATCTAGGCCCCAATCAGGGCCCCCATCCTTACCTTATAGCTGGTACGTGCTATCCGTTGTCGGAGCGGATTGTCACCCCGTTTCAGGCGCCAAAGTTTAGTGATATCGAGAAGCGTTTTAATAATTCGATCTACAATGCTCTTAGTGTTACGCAAAGGGCCTTCAAACTGCTACGATCAAGGTTTGTTGATGTAGGAAGTCTTCGACGCTAGATCTGCTTCTTAAAGCCCAAGCATGTTCCCACGTGCCCCTGTCACGCAGTACGAATAAGGCCAATCATTGTCGGATCTGAGATGCTTCTAGTTGACATTCTGTTGTTTTATCAAAATCGTTATTTTTGTAAACGTAGGGCGTCATATACCTTACCTTAGACGGTTCGCTTGTCGTAAGTCATCCTATTTCTATAGGGCTGCATTGGCCCTAGAAAAACAGGGTACATAGATTTTTCTTGATCTCTTATTGTAATGCTCCTTAGTATGGCTTCGTTTTTGTAGTTATTCTCTTCTAACTCGCTGTAGCTGCGGTCTTAACTGTCCCCGCCTTCAGCTTTTCCCTTTTGAAAGTTCTTCGAATTAAACGAAAGTTTCGTTCTAAAGGATTGTTCTTAATTGCCTGGGTCCAGGTTTCCCTTCCTTTTGGATTTGTCTGGTGTCGCTGTAGAGGACGCGCCCTCGGTAGCAGCGGCATGCTGTGTTCTCCATAACGTCTGCGAGGCCAGGGGCGAGATAACGCGCTCGTCTTGGGAGGCAAAAGCGACCTCACGACAACACCATCATCTAACAATGGCGCAGGGTCAAGCTGCTCTTGAACACGAACCTGATCTTGAAGCTGTCCTTTTTCGTGAAATGGTCAAGAACTCAATGATTCACAACTATGATCGTAAATTTTAAGTGAACGAACGGATTTGGCAAAAATAGGCTAATTAATAGTTAGCTGCAACATTTGTTGTAACTAATGTGTACTCGTATATATATATACATATGTATATATA